TTATTATCTTATTACTAGCGGGAACAATTTATTCAGAACGAATATTTAAACCGCTTTAGTGATTTTTACCCATATTCCTTTCGGTCCAGTCGCGTAGGCTTGAGCCGGTCGACGACAACGTTTTTTGAATTGACTGTATTTTCTTAATCATCGCTGGTAATTCAGTTCAACTGATTATAATACACCCAACAAAATTACTCGATTCTGATTGGATTAAGAGGAGAATAATTTTAAAAACCCCAAACCAAAAACTCCGTCTTGTACAATTCGTTATTTATAGAAAACTTTCAAAACATCTCTCATACCTATAAATTCCAAATCGTGCTCCAGATCGTGCAACTTCCTACACAAATCAAATCACTGTGTTCAACCCAAAATGACTGTTGGAACATTGGACAGCAACATATTTACCTCGCGATCTTTTACTAAATCAATAAAGGATTGAGGAAATTGAAGCATAGAACAAAATGAAAAGACCGAAGAATAAAGGCAAAATACAGACATGACAGGATCTGACTGAACTAGGAATAGATGAATAGATTAAATACTTGATAAAAAGTAGAAACTCAAAACGCTTGTAAATCGAAATGCAATTTTCCCTGTTAATCATGATGTTGGTACTGCGAGTCCCATACTTGATTTTTATTCCGCTATGGTATTGCTGGTACTGCCTTTTCCTGGTTCCTTTCCTATCTTAAGGGTAGGACGCAGCATGTTTGTCTGGATGGACATACCTCTGATGACCATGTGTTAAACTGTGGTGTTCCTCAAGGGTCAGTGCTCGGACCTATCCTTTATTCACTATACACCTCTCCACTGGGTGATGTCATGCGTTATCACGATATGAGTTATCATTTCTACGCTGATGACACGCAGGTTTATTTGTCGTTTCAGCCTTCAATACCTGGCCATATGGAAATGACGACTGAGAAATTCCAAGCTTGCTTGCACTCTATATCTAACTGCATGCTAATGAACAAACTCAAACTCAATGATGATAAATCTGAACTGTTAGTTTTAAGAGCAAGTCATCGTCCTAGTCATCAGTTAGGCTACCTTCTAATGGGTGATGAATACATCAAGCCATCTTCTAATGCTAAGAACATTGGTGTTGTTCTTGACGATACCATGTCAATGGACAGCCAAATGATGGCTGTATGTAAGTTATGTTTCTATCACATTAGATGTGTTTCTCGTATTAGGCGGTACTTGAGCCTTGAAGACACTAAACAACTTGTTCAGGCTTTTGTAATTTCTAGGATTGACTATTGTAATTCTCTGTTATTTGGCTTGCCTAATAATCTTCTAGATAGATTGCAGCATGTTCTTCATTCTGCTGCTAGACTTATTACTTTGACTAAAAAATATGATCATATTACTCCATCTTTACTTGAATTACATTGATTGCCTGTTGCGCAACGTATTATATTCAAGATAGCTCTTATTACATTCAAAGCTTTGAATAATTTAACACCATGTTATATTAGAGATCTGATTTCGCCTTATCAGCCGTCTCGTTCTCTTCGTTCTTCTACGAAGAATTTATTGCAAATTAACAAATATAATCTTAAGACATATGGCTATAGAGCCTTCTCAATTAATGCTCCACAAGTTTAGAATTCACTTCCCATTAATGTTAGAAATAGTCAATCTATTGAAGATTTTAAAAAGCGACTTAAGACTTATCTTTTTAGGTTAGCTTATTTTAATTAAGTTTAGATCTTATTTGAATCTAGTTTTTGATTAAATAGTTAGAAATAGTCAATCTATTAATGGTTTTAAAAAGCGACTTAAGACTTATCTTTTTAGGTTAGCTTATTTTAAGTATAGACCTTTTTAGAATTTAGTTTTTTGATTAAATAGTTGT